CACTCAGTCAGTCACTCACTCAATTACTCACTCACTCAGTCACTCAGTCACTCACTCAGTAGTGCTAGTGCCGTGTGTCATTGTGAGTGAGTGGTGGTAGTGGTAGTGCCGTGTGTCAGAGCCTCACATCTGAAACACCCCAGCCTTCTCCAGGGCTCTGAGTCCGTGGCTGTGTGCAGTCAGCGATCCCTGGATCAGCCAGTCACTCAGTCAGTCACTCAGTCACTCAGTCAGTCAGTCATTCACTCAGTCAGTCACTCAGACAGTCACTCACTCAGTCAGTCAGTCACTCAGTCAGTCAGTCACTCAATTACTCACTCACTCAGTCACTCACTCAGTAGTGCTAGTGCCGTGTGTCACTGTGAGTGGTGGTAGTGGTAGTGCCGTGTGTCACTGTGAGTGAGTGGTGGTAGTGGTAGTGCCGTGTGTCAGAGCCTCACATCTGAAACACCCCAGCCTTCTCCAGGGCTCTGAGTCCGTGGCTGTGGACAGTCAGCGATCCCAGGATCAGCCAGTCACTCAGTCATTCACTCAGTCACTCAGTCAGTCACTCAGTCACTCAAACACTCAGTCAGTCACTCACTCAATTACTCACTCACTCAGTCACTCACTCAGTAGTGCTAGTGCCGTGTGTCACTGTGAGTGGTGGTAGTGGTAGGGCCGTGTGTCACTGAGTGGTGGTAGTGGTAGTGCCGTGTGTCAGAGCCTCACATCTGAAACACCCCAGCCTTCTCCAGGGCTCTGAGTCCGTGGCTGTGGACAGTCAGCGATCCCAGGATCAGCCAGTCACTCAGTCAGTCAGTCACTCAGTCACTCAGTCAGTCAGTCACTCAGTCAGTCAGTCACTCAGTCACTCATTCATTCACTCACTCAGTCACTCAGACACTCAGTCAGTCACTCAGTCACTCAAACACTCAGTCAGTCAGTCAGTAGTGCTAGTGCCGTGTGTCGCTGTGAGTGAGTGGTGCTAGTGGTAGTGCCGTGTGTCAGAGCCTCACATCTGAAACACCCCAGCCTTCTCCAGGGCTCTGAGTCCGTGGCTGTGGACAGTCAGCGATCCCAGGATCAGCCAGTCACTCAGTCAGTCACTCAGTCAGTCAGTCAGACACTCACTCAGTCATTCACTCACTCAGTCAGTCACTCACTCAGTCACTCAGTCACTCAGTCAGTCACTCAGTCACTCAGTCAGTCACTCAGTCACTCAAACACTCAGTCAGTCACTCACTCAATTACTCACTCACTCAGTCACTCAGTCACTCACTCAGTAGTGCTAGTGCCGTGTGTCACTGTGAGTGAGTGGTGCTAGTGGTAGTGCCGTGTGTCACTGAGTGGTGCTAGTGGTAGTGCCATGTGTCAGAGCCTCACATCTGAAACACCCCAGCCTTCTCCAGGGCTCTGAGTCCGTGGCTGTGTGCAGTCAGCGATCCCAGGATCAGCCAGTCAGTCAGTCATTCACTCAGTCAGTCACTCAGTCACTCAGTCAGTCACTCAGTCACTCAAACACTCAGTCAGTCACTCACTCAATTACTCACTCACTCAGTCACTCAGTCAGTCAGTCAGTAGTGCTAGTGCCGTGTGTCACTGTGAGTGGTGGTAGTGGTAGTGCCGTGTGTCACTGTGAGTGAGTGGTGGTAGTGGTAGTGCAGTGTGTCAGAGCCTCACATCTGAAACACCCCAGCCTTCTCCAGGGCTCTGAGTCCGTGGCTGTGGGCAGTCAGCGATCCCAGGATCAGCCAGTCACTCAGTCAGTCAGTCACTCAGTCACTCAGTCAGTCACTCAGTCAGTCATTCACTCAGTCAGTCAGTCAGTCAGACACTCACTCAGTCATTCACTCACTCAGTCAGTCACTCACTCAGTCACTCAGTCAGTCACTCAGTCACTCAGTCAGTCACTCAGTCACTCAAACACTCAGTCAGTCACTCACTCAATTACTCACTCAGTTACTCACTCAGTAGTGGTAGTCCCGTGTGTCGCTGTGAGTGAGTGGTGCTAGTGGTAGTGCCGTGTGTCATCGCCTCACATCTGAAACACCCCAGCCTTCTCCAGGGCTCTGAGTCCGTGGCTGTGGGCAGTCAGCGATCCCAGGATCAGCCAGTCAGTCAGTCAGTCAGTCACTCAGTCAGTCACTCAGTCAGTCAGTCACTCAGTCAGTCAGTCACTCAGTCACTCATTCATTCACTCACTCAGTCACTCAGACACTCAGTCAGTCACTCAGTCACTCAGTCAGTCACTCAGTCACTCAAACACTCAGTCAGTCACTCACTCAATTACTCACTCAGTCACTTACTCAGTAGTGGTAGTCCCGTGTGTCGCTGTGAGTGAGTGGTGCTAGTGGTAGTGCCGTGTGTCATCGCCTCACATCTGAAACACCCCAGCCTTCTCCAGGGCTCTGAGTCCGTGGCTGTGGGCAGTCAGCGATCCCAGGATCAGCCAGTCAGTCAGTCAGTCACTCAGACAGTCAGTCAGTCAGTCAGTAGTGCTAGTGCCGTGTGTCGCTGTGAGTGAGTGGTGCTAGTGGTAGTGCCGTGTGTCAGAGCCTCACATCTGAAACACCCCAGCCTTCTCCAGGGCTCTGAGTCCGTGGCTGTGTGCCACAGCCACGGACTCAGTCAGTCAGACACTCACTCAGTCATTCACTCACTCAGTCAGTCACTCAGTCAGTCACTCAGTCACTCAGTCACTCAAACACTCAGTCAGTCACTCACTCAATTACTCACTCACTCAGTCAGTCACTCACTCAGTAGTGGTATTGCCGTGTGTCACTGTGAGTGAGTAGTGGTAGTGGTAGTGCCGTGTGTCGCTGTGAGTGAGTGGTGCTAGTGGTAGTGCCGTGTGTCATCGCCTCACATCTGAAACACCCCAGCCTTCTCCAGGGCTCTGAGTCCGTGGCTGTGGGCAGTCAGCGATCCCAGGATCAGCTAGTCACTCAGTCAGTCAGTCACTCAGTCACTGAGTCAGTCAGTCAGTCACTCAGTCAGTCACTCAGTCAGTCAGTCACTCAGTCAGTAAGTCAGTCAGTCACTCAGTCACTCACTCAGTCACTCACTCGGTCAGTCAGTCACTCAGTCAGTCAGTCACTCAGTCAGTCAGTCACTCAGTCAGTCAGTTACTCACTCAGTAGTGGTAGTCCCGTGTGTCACTGTGAGTGAGTGGTGGTAGTGGTAGTGCCGTGTGTCAGAGCCTCACATCTGAAACACCCCAGCCTTCTCCAGGGCTCTGAGTCCGTGGCTGTGGGCAGTCAGCGATCCCAGGATCAGCCAGCCAGTCACTCACTCAGTCACTCAGTCAGTCACTCAGTCACTCAGTCACTCAAACACTCAGTCAGTCACTCACTCAATTACTCACTCACTCAAACACTCAGTCACTCACTCAGTAGTGGTAGTCCCGTGTGTCGCTGTGAGTGAGTGGTGCTAGTGGTAGTGCCGTGTGTCAGAGCCTCACATCTGAAACACCCCAGCCTTCTCCAGGGCTCTGAGTCCGTGGCTGTGGGCAGTCAGCGATCCCAGGATCAGCCAGTCACTCACTCAGTCAGTCACTCAGTCACTCAGTCAGTCACTCAGTCACTCAGACAGTCACTCAGTCAGTCAGTCAGTCACTCAGACAGTCACTCAGTCACTCACTCAGTCACTCAGTCACTCACTCAGTAGTGCTAGTGCCGTGTGTCACTGTGAGTGGTGGTAGTGCCGTGTGTCAGAGCCTCACATCTGAAACACCCCAGCCTTCTCCAGGGCTCTGAGTCCGTGGCTGTGGGCAGTCAGCGATCCCAGGATCAGCCAGTCACTCAGTCATTCACTCAGTCAGTCAGTCAGTCAGTCATTCACTCAGTCAGTCAGTCACTCAGACAGTCAGTCACTCACTCAGTCAGTCAGTCAGTCACTCAGTCAGTCAGTCAGTCACTCAGTCACTCAAACACTCAGTCAGTCACTCACTCAATTACTCACTCACTCAGTCACTCAGTCACTCACTCAGTAGTGCTAGTGCCGTGTGTCACTGTGAGTGAGTGGTGCTAGTGGTAGTGCCGTGTGTCAGAGCCTCACATCTGAAACACCCCAGCCTTCTCCAGGGCTCTGAGTCCGTGGCTGTGGGCAGTCAGCGATCCCAGAATCAGCCAGTCACTCAGTCAGTTAGTCAGTCACTCAGTCAGTCACTCAGTAGTACTAGTGCCGTGTGTCACTGTGAGTGGTGGTAGTGGTAGTGCCGTGTGTCAGAGCCTCACATCTGAAACACCCCAGCCTTCTCCAGGGCTCTGAGTCCGTGGCTGTGGGCAGTCAGCGATCCCAGGATCAGCCAGTCACTCACTCAGTCAGTCAGACACTCAGTCAGTCAGTCAGACACTCACTCAGTCATTCACTCACTCAGTCAGTCAGACACTCACTCAGTCATTCACTCACTCAGTCAGTCACTCAGTCAGTCACTCAGTCACTCAGTCACTCAAACACTCAGTCAGTCACTCACTCAATTACTCACTCACTCAGTCAGTCACTCACTCAGTAGTGGTATTGCCGTGTGTCACTGTGAGTGAGTGGTGCTAGTGGTAGTGCCGTGTGTCAGAGCCTCACATCTGAAACACCCCAGCCTTCTCCAGGGCTCTGAGTCCGTGGCTGTGGGCAGTCAGCGATCCCAGGATCAGCCAGTCACTCAGTCAGTCACTCAGTCACTCAGTCAGTCACTCAGTCACTCAGACAGTCACTCAGTCACTCACTCAGTCACTCAGTCAGTCAGTCAGTAGTGCTAGTGCCGTGTGTCACTGTGAGTGGTGGTAGTGGTAGTGCCGTGTGTCACTGTGAGTGAGTGGTGCTAGTGGTAGTGCCGTGTGTCAGAGCCTCACATCTGAAACACCCCAGCCTTCTCCAGGGCTCTGAGTCCGTGGCTGTGGGCAGTCAGCGATCCCAGGATCAGCCAGTCACTCAGTCAGTCACTCAGTCAGTCAGTAGTGCTAGTGCCGTGTGTCGCTGTGAGTGAGTGGTGCTAGTGGTAGTGCCGTGTGTCAGAGCCTCACATCTGAAACACCCCAGCCTTCTCCAGGGCTCTGAGTCCGTGGCTGTGGGCAGTCAGCGATCCCAGGATCAGCGGGTAGACGGAGCTCAGCGTGGAAATCAGCGGACTGGCACTTAGGCAACGCTCAGATCCTCCGCTGAGCGACGGGCAGAGAGATAGCCACTTGACGATGTCCTTGAGGAGCTCGTCTAAGTAGGCGGACCCGTCCTGCGGGACAAGGGGAGGTGACACTCAGACACTCAGTCAGACACTCAGACACTCACACACTCAGTCAGACACTCAGTCATTCACTCAGACACTCAGACACACAGACACTCACTCAGACACTCACACACTCAGTCAGACACTCAGTCATTCATTCAGACACTCAGACACTCAGACACTCACTCAGACACTCACTCAGACACTCAGTCAGACACTCAGACACTCAGATAGCCACTTGACGATGTCCTTGAGGAGCTCGTCTAAGTAGGCGGACCCGTCCTGCGGGACAAGGGGAGGTGACACTCAGACACTCAGTCAGACACTCAGACAGTCAGTCAGACACTCAGACAGTCAGTTGCTCAGTCAGACACTCAGACACTCAGACACTCACTCAGACACTCAGTCAGACACTCAGACACTCAGACACTCACTCAGACACTCAGTCAGACACTCAGACACTCAGATAGCCACTTGACGATGTCCTTGAGGAGCTCGTCTAAGTAGGCGGACCCGTCCTGCGGGACAAGGGGAGGTGACACTCAGACACTCAGTCAGACACTCAGACACTCACACACTCAGTCAGACACTCAGTCATTCACTCAGACACTCAGACACACAGACACTCACTCAGACACTCACACACTCAGTCAGACACTCAGTCATTCATTCAGACACTCAGACACTCAGACACTCACTCAGACACTCACTCAGACACTCAGTCAGACACTCAGACACTCAGATAGCCACTTGACGATGTCCTTGAGGAGCTCGTCTAAGTAGGCGGACCCGTCCTGCGGGACAAGGGGAGGTGACACTCAGACACTCAGTCAGACACTCAGACAGTCAGTCAGACACTCAGACAGTCAGTTGCTCAGTCAGACACTCAGACACTCAGACACTCACTCAGACACTCAGTCAGACACTCAGACACTCAGACACTCACTCAGACACTCAGTCAGACACTCAGACACTCAGATAGCCACTTGACGATGTCCTTGAGGAGCTCGTCTAAGTAGGCGGACCCGTCCTGCGGGACAAGGGGAGGTGACACTCAGACACTCAGTCAGACACTCAGACAGACACTCAGACAGTCAGTCGCTCGGTCAGGCACTCAGACACTCACTCACTGAGTCAGACACTCAGTCATTCACTCAGACACTCAGATACTCAGACACTCAGTCACACACTCAGTCAGACACTCAGACATTCAGTCATTCACTCAGACACTCAGACACACAGACACTCACTCAGACACTCAGTCAGACACTCAGACATTCAGTCGCTCAGTCAGGCACTCAGACAGACACTCAGTCAGACACTCAGTCATTCACTCAGACACTCAGACACACAGACACTCACTCAGACACTCAGTCAGACACTCAGACATTCAGTCGCTCAGTCAGGCACTCAGACAGACACTCAGTCAGACACTCAGTCATTCACTCAGACACTCAGACACTCAGACACTCGCTCAGACACTCACTCAGACACTCAGACACTCAGTCAGACACTCAGACACTCAGACAGCCACTTGACGATGTCCTTGAGGAGCTCGTCTAAGTAGGCGGACCCGTCCTGCGGGACAAGGGGAGGTGACACTCAGACACTCAGTCAGACACTCAGTCAGACACTCACACACTCAGACACACAGACACTCACTCAGACACTCAGTCATTCACTCAGACACTCAGACACACAGACACTCACTCAGACACTCAGTCATTCACTCAGACACTTAGACACACAGACACTCACTCAGACACTCAGTCAGACACTCAGACAGACACTCAGACAGTCAGTCGCTCGGTCAGGCACTCAGACACTCACTCACTGAGTCAGACACTCAGTCAGACACTCAGACACTCAGACACTCAGACACTCACTCAGACACTCAGTCAGACACTCAGACACTCAGTCAGACACTCAGACACTCAGATAGCCACTTGACGATGTCCTTGAGGAGCTCGTCTAAGTAGGCGGACCCGTCCTGCGGGACAAGGGGAGGTGACACTCAGACACTCAGTCAGACACTCAGACAGTCAGTCGCTCAGTCAGGCACTCAGACACTCAGACACTCAGTCAGACACTCAGACACTCAGATAGCCACTTGACGATGTCCTTGAGGAGCTCGTCTAAGTAGGCGGACCCGTCCTGCGGGACAAGGGGAGGTGACACTCAGACACTCAGTCAGACACTCAGACATTCAGTCGCTCGGTCAGGCACTCAGACAGACACTCAGTCAGACAGTCAGTCATTCACTCAGACACTCAGACACACAGACACCCACTCAGACACTCAGACACTCAGACACTCACTCAGACACTCACACACTCAGTCAGACACTCAGACAGTCAGTCGCTCAGTCAGACACTCACTCAGACACTCAGTCAGTCGCTCAGTCATTCACTCAGACACTCAGACACTCACTCAGTCATTCACTCAGACACACAGACACACAGACACTCACTCAGACACTCAGTCAGACACTCAGACACTCAGACACTCAGACACTCACTCAGACACTCAGTCATTCACTCAGACACTCAGACACTCAGACACTCAGACACTCACTCAGACACTCAGTCAGACACTCAGACACTCAGACACTCAGACACTCACTCAGACACTCAGTCAGACACTCAGACACTCAGACACTCAGACACTCACTCAGACACTCAGTCATTCACTCAGACACTCAGACACTCAGACACTCAGACACTCACTCAGACACTCAGTCAGACACTCAGACACTCAGACACTCAGACACTCACTCAGACACTCAGTCAGACACTCAGACACTCAGACACTCAGACACTCACTCAGACACTCAGTCATTCACTCAGACACTCAGACACTCAGACACTCAGACACTCACTCAGACACTCAGTCACTCAGTCAGACACTCACTCAGACACTCAGACACTCACTCAGACACTCACTCAGACACTCAGACACTCAGACACTCACTCAGACACTCAGACATTCAGTCGCTCAGTCAGGCACTCAGACAGACACTCAGTCAGACACTCAGTCATTCACTCAGACACTCAGACACACAGACACTCACTCAGACACTCAGTCAGACACTCAGACATTCAGTCGCTCAGTCAGGCACTCAGACAGACACTCAGTCAGACACTCAGTCATTCACTCAGACACTCAGACACTCAGACACTCGCTCAGACACTCAGTCAGACACTCAGACACTCAGACAGCCACTTGACGATGTCCTTGAGGAGCTCGTCTAAGTAGGCGGACCCGTCCTGCGGGACAAGGGGAGGTGACACTCAGACACTCAGTCAGACACTCAGTCAGACACTCACACACTCAGACACACAGACACTCACTCAGACACTCAGTCATTCACTCAGACACTCAGACACACAGACACTCACTCAGACACTCAGTCATTCACTCAGACACTTAGACACACAGACACTCACTCAGACACTCAGTCAGACACTCAGACAGACACTCAGACAGTCAGTCGCTCGGTCAGGCACTCAGACACTCACTCACTGAGTCAGACACTCAGTCAGACACTCAGACACTCAGACACTCAGACACTCACTCAGACACTCAGTCAGACACTCAGACACTCAGTCAGACACTCAGACACTCAGATAGCCACTTGACGATGTCCTTGAGGAGCTCGTCTAAGTAGGCGGACCCGTCCTGCGGGACAAGGGGAGGTGACACTCAGACACTCAGTCAGACACTCAGACAGACAGACACTCAGTCAGACACTCACACACTCAGTCGCTCGGTCAGGCACTCAGACAGACACTCAGTCAGACAGTCAGTCATTCACTCAGACACTCAGACACACAGACACCCACTCAGACACTCAGACACTCAGACACTCACTCAGACACTCACACACTCAGTCAGACACTCAGACAGTCAGTCGCTCAGTCAGACACTCACTCAGACACTCAGTCAGTCGCTCAGTCATTCACTCAGACACTCAGACACTCACTCAGTCATTCACTCAGACACACAGACACACAGACACTCACTCAGACACTCAGTCAGACACTCAGACACTCAGACACTCAGACACTCACTCAGACACTCAGTCATTCACTCAGACACTCAGACACTCAGACACTCAGACACTCACTCAGACACTCAGTCAGACACTCAGACACTCAGACACTCAGACACTCACTCAGACACTCAGTCAGACACTCAGACACTCAGACACTCAGACACTCACTCAGACACTCAGTCATTCACTCAGACACTCAGACACTCAGACACTCAGACACTCACTCAGACACTCAGTCAGACACTCAGACACTCAGACACTCAGACACTCACTCAGACACTCAGTCAGACACTCAGACACTCAGACACTCAGACACTCACTCAGACACTCAGTCATTCACTCAGACACTCAGACACTCAGACACTCAGACACTCACTCAGACACTCAGTCACTCAGTCAGACACTCACTCAGACACTCAGACACTCACTCAGACACTCACTCAGACACTCAGACACTCAGACACTCACTCAGACACTCAGTCAGACACTCAGACACTCAGACACTCAGACACTCACTCAGACACTCAGTCAGACACTCAGACACTCAGACACTCAGACACTCACTCAGACACTCAGTCATTCACTCAGACACTCAGACACTCAGACACTCAGACACTCACTCAGACACTCAGTCACTCAGTCAGACACTCACTCAGACACTCAGACACTCACTCAGACACTCACTCAGACACTCAGACACTCAGACACTCACTCAGACACTCAGACAGCCACTCAGACAGCCACTTTACGATGTCCTTGAGGAGCTCGTCTAAGTAGGCGGACCCGTCCTGCGGGACAAGGGGAGGTGACACTCAGACACTCAGTCAGACACTCAGACAGTCAGTCGCTCAGTCAGGCACTCAGACAGACACTCAGTCAGTCAGACAGTCAGTCATTCACTCAGACACTCAGACACTCACTCAGACACTCAGTCATTCACTCAGACACACAG